GATCCGCACATCGATGACCACATTGACGTACCAGCGCCCCTGACGTTTTCATCGTTTATTAAAGCTAACTATAAGCACACTCCCTTCTTGTAAAGACTGAAGTCGGTTCCTTCACGTGTTATTGGTGTAAAATTGATATTGTTACACTTCGTCCCCCAAGCGAACAGTGCTTTTGCCGCATCATTTGAGACCATAAACTAGAATTCGCAATAACACTTAATATTTAGTGGAGCCCCGAATTCCACACCAACTGGTAATTATGCTATCGCCATGATTATAGCCATCGGAGCGGCCTCTTTCATGCTTTACTTGTGGGTGACTGAAGGCGCTAATTTCAGACGTAAAGGTGAGCTAGCAATAATTCAACTTTCTAAGGCACTTCGCTATCTTTTAAAACCTGGTCTGTTCCAAAAGTACACGCAGCGGGTTCGCGGGTATTAAAAGTTATTGAGCTCGGACTACCAGACATAAATTGGGGCAATATTAAAAGATGTAAACGCTTGGGTCGGGATCGAGTTGTATATTTTTTAGCTTGGAACAAAGAGGAGAAATTTGAAAAGAGGCGCCATTGGAGATAAACCGAGAACAAACGCTGACAACGCCGGAAGAGACTCCCCTCCCAACACCAGTAGGGACGCTGCCCTGAGAGAGAGGCATGTCCGAACAAATTTTCCGGACTCGCCAGCCTTTGCTGGCTCGAAGTTAGTAGTTCAGACGGCAATCAATCAAGACTAGCGAAATCGCTCTGAATACTAGGCTGGGAGCGTTAGTGTCGCACCGATTCGAGTCAGGAGTGTGGCGTCACCCCTGTGACACCACGCTCCTTACTCGAAACGCCGCGACATTGAAGGAATCCTTCACGGAAAAATCATGATTCTATTTCAGCCATAAATCACTGGCTTGAGACTCATTATCCACGATAAGAATGAAAAGAACAGAAAAATTGCTTTCGTTTTGGTAAAAAAAATTCGAAAAACGAAAGGGCTGCTACGCGTTCAAAGTGCCCACGGACGTCTTTCACAAATGCTGGCGACGGGATGCTTCCACTTGGTTCTTGGAGTGCCTTCACTAGAAACTCTTTCTGGCCTTTCAATGCATTCACATCTCACACTTTTACTTTTTACTTTAGTTCCTCCCGTGCTGAACAGCACATAGATCGACGAATTCTTTCCACTGTTGCCGGTCTTGTGCAATCTTTTCTCCTTCACTCCTAGAAACATTCATGATCTTGAAATCATTTTCGAACGTTCTCCTCCATGTGGTTCTGGGACGGCCTCTTCCTCGCTTGGCGCTTGGAGGTAACCAGATCAGTCTCACACTTTTACTCCATCCTATTCTATCGATCGATTTGTCTCTACTCTCCGAAATCGCGCGCTTTAACCCGATTCTTTCATTGCGTCGCCTGATACGTAGCCGCCCCAAGCGGACTTCTTTCCATGCCCCGCCTTTGGCTCCGCCCGAATTACCTTCGATGTCCATAGAGTGGATTTTCGTGAGTTTGTTTCTCTTCGGAAACCGAATCTTCATGCGTGAAACTTTGTGTGCTGCATTCTAGTGATCACAACTGACACATTCATGTTGAGAAAGAATGCAAGAATTTTCCGCGGATTCCTTTAACGCTCGCTTCGCTTGCATTCTAGCCACGTGATGGGAGACGTTTCTTTGACCGTCTTATACCGACTCTTACTTTCTAGAGGCTTGATCTAAATGGCTAAAATTTGGGAGTGTGCGGACCAGTGACGTGTACTTTTGGTACACTCCCGTACTTCTATTACATTTCCTTCAAAAATTTTTGCAGGAAAATTTGCCAAAAATGAAGGACCAATCAAAGTACCCCCAGAACTGATGAACCTTCGCTCAGGTAGCAGTCGAGAGCGCTTTGAAGCGGTAGGTTCAATAGTGATTTGAGCACATACTCCACGAATTTCTCCAGCTGTCCCTAGAGAAAGTAAGAACATGAGGAGGAGCAGCTTTTTGAGCTCATTCGCAATCGACACTCATCTTTCTCTTGGCGACTGGTGAAGTTCGCCGAGCGTGTGTCCAGTTAACGTCTTTTGTACAATGTCAAACGAGCTCTCACAGACAACCCAACCGCCGATTATACAGCCGAATAGGAGAACGGACCGATTAGCTGATGTGAGTGAAAATAATTGCTTACTTAGGAATGTATTAGTCTTAGGAACATAATGTAGCAGGTAGAAGGATTTAAACTTTTTAGGATCTACCCCTTGCAACTGCCGAAAAAAGTTCGCCTACACTCTTTGTGAGACTTGGCAGAGCTCCAGAAGCGACAATGTTAGAAGGAACCGATCTTGCTGTGTCATAATGCCTTAACACTAACGAAGTAATATATCTGCCTTAAAACTAACCACGGAATTGTTAGGTGTGCGAGAAAGAAACTGCTCGTAAACCATCAAGTCATCCTTGATGGCTCAGTTTTCCAATACATATATTCGGAATGGGAAACTGTTCACAAATAGCGATCTTGAGAAGCACTAATTATTGATCCTTTCTCCCAAGGAAGTCTAGCACTGAGCGACCTGCGGCTCAGGCCAAGTAAGGATCTTTTCCTCAAATCAGGCCCTAGAATGTTCAACGTGGTCATAAGCTGCCGGGATACATCAGTTGCCTTTGTTAGTCATAGGTGTTCATGATCCCGTAAAAGTTTGAAAATGATTCTACTACTTGATGTCGCCCTGTTCCATGGAATGACGAATGTAATAGATTCACCAGGCGCTCCCAGTGAGCAAAAAAGCCGAGGAAATCCACTGATGTTTTCAGTGAGCAAAATATACTTGGAAAAAATGATGGTGTGTGATAGATTCGACTGAGTCTTTCCTAGGTGTTTTGTGCACTGAGCTAGCTCTAACCTGTAACTACTTGTGTTGATGAGAAGAATACGCCCAAAAATCTATATTGAAGACACCTTTTGTGATTTGAGCAACAACTCAGAGTTAGATCTGGATAAGCGTATAATGGAAGAAGAATAGTGCTCTCTTCAAGGGTAGCGGTAGTAACGTTGAAGCCGCGGAAAATTCGTGACGTTAGACGCTCACTAGCATGACCATTTTGAGTATCTTCTAATGAAGTTGCCGTTTGGAGAGGACCCACAGCTCCCATGCAAATTCGAACTTTACCGAGCGCCTGCAGTTTCAGCATTTCACTCGCAACCTGTATGTGTATTAGGTTCTTAGTATCAGGTAAGTGGAAATTGAAAAGCACATCCCAATCTATCGAAAAAAAGCTTCATTAAAGCCTTCTACACCGACGACATCAGAAGATTTTCCCACGGAAACATGGTGCGCGGTACGAGCTCAACGAGGTCGTCGAGGTACCATAGACCATTACGACGTCTCTGGAACGCTGGTCAAAAGCGGTCTTGCATAGTCGGAGCCACTGTCTTCAAGATGCCAATCATCAGGTTAAAGGACGAATTCACGATTAGAATGAAGGTCGAAGAAGGAGTAATTCACCTAGTTGAGGGACCCGCGGACCTCCTAAGGGTGCGGACTGAAGCGCAATTGGCACCGAAGGAGTTGACCTCGGCGACCTATTAAGGCTCAATCTTGGCGCGGTGGGCCAGTGCGCCCACCGATCATCTGATCACTCGCCGCAGGTCTATACGTGGCGAGTGATTAGATAGGTGAGAGAGCGTAGTGTTGAAGAGGGCACAGCGATGAGAGTCGCATCAATGCTCAAATCAACGGGCAAGGAAGGGGTCCCATTTCTCGGGTTCTGGGCCGTTTCTCATGGTTTTCCTTCTTTCGTGTACCACTCACCATCCCTAGTTAATTTGAAATGGGTTGCTTTTCCAGCGTGAATTCGTCCTTTAACCGATCAAAAGAATTGTGAAGCAGCTCCACGCCGGAGCGATTATGGCATCTCGTCGAGCTGATGGCAGATGGGGTTATATTCTGAAGCGGTGAGGGCAGTAAAGGAGGACCTCTGCATATGGGGATGTCTATCGAATTTTTGTCGAAAACCTTTCATCAAGAGCACCAGAATGTGCCATCAAAAACTTGACGATGTGCAACATAAGCGAAATGACTCATCTTTTTGCCCGACCCCCCTCGCTCCCTGAGGATATCATTCGCCAAGCGGTTGTGCTTTACCAGAAATTATCAACTCCCCCCGCTTTCATTGCATGGGGAAGGGTATTCGCCACAAGTGGCGGAAAGTAATAGAGTAATGGCTAAGAGGTGATGACTGGTCAAATGCCAAATATGTACTTCGAAGTCCCCAGCGAAGTCGAACGCTTGCACTCATGTATTCAATGTGGGATGAAAGGTGAATATAGACGGTTGGTGATAGATTGGAAAAAGGTGCCATCAATTTTGCTCCATTTGCGTAATCTTGGTGTGGGTGCTCTCATAGGTATCGCGTGAAGTGAGCTTGGAAAGTGATAAGGCCGAGGATGTCTTGAAAATTGCCACCAATTTGACACGTTGACGACATCGCGTGTTTTGGCATTTTGCACCGCGTGGGACAGGAGCGATTTTGCGAGCGCGCCGTCCTCACCTTACTTCCGCTTATTTTTTGTTTAAAATGCACAACAACTTGAATCTCATAGAATTATTTCGGCAAGGATGAAAGCATAAAGGTTAACTATATAATAGCAGTAGATTTTTGTTTAGAAGAACGCATAATGACCACGAAGAAGCAAAAAAACATCACTTTCGCTGCGAATGAAGTTAAAAGCATTTATACTAAGTTCTTCCATCAAATACAAATATCTTGAAACTCACAGAGTTTTGTATTAACTGCTTCTACAATCTTTCATATGAATGTTAACGACAGTGAAAGGAATACTAGGAAAGAATTGAAATGAAAGTTTTGTGCGTTCAGAAAATCTTTGCTAAATCAAGGGATATTTGACCACTCTGGCTGCCATGTGGTTTATAGTTATGCTAATGTATTATCTATAGAATGAATGCGTCGTCAACGTGTTAAAAAGGCTCTTCTCCGTAGTAATACAACTTCTCACTAATGATACAGTGGACAAGATGAAGACATTGGCGATGAACGCCGACAAATCAATCGTAAGAATTAGTAAGATTCAACACGAGGTAGTACCACATGAAACTCCTCAATCATCGGCGTATGAATGACCAATACATAAAATATCAAATAATCACCGAATAAGCATCCATTATTAGTTCTATTTCATGATAGTAAATCAAGTGCGACCGCTAGACTATTAAGAAATCTGAAAATTTTTGATTTTTAATATGAAGAGCAATGGAATACGCTATTTTATCACCATTACTTTGGTACTTCATTCGTCATTAACTTGAGTGTACCATTTGGTGAACGGCCGGCTATGATTTTGCTCGACCTTAGTAACATTTCAGTGAAGAAAATGAACAAGCAAAATAAAGAATTAGCCGTGAGACCAAAGTTGCTTTGCCACACTAAAAGAGTGGAATGAGCGCTGTACTGTGCGGAGCTAAAGTAGCTAGTGAATAACATTGAATGTCATTCCTTGAATTGTTTGGATAAACAGCAATTTTTTGCAGCCTGAGGGAGGAAAAACGGTCACAGCTACAAGCACTCCAATGACGGTAAGTCGTGTAGTAATCTTGTGCAAAAATGACAGGTGCCACGACTGATTTTTTCCAGAAGGAGGCGACAACAGAGGCTTCGAGACTATCGAGCACTGAGGTAAGATAGCATCTACGATATGAACAAGGCTGCACCCTAGTGCGTCCTACTGCAGTTTTGGTTAAAGACATCGCTCACGTTAGAATTGTTTTGTTATTTTGCTCAAAAATTACCAAGTTGTGCGAAGGCAACATTATTGGGACACAAAGCGAAAAACCCATAAAAAGACATTTTTCTTGCTTGGGTTGCCGTAGTACGAAGGAGAGTCAGTGACTGAGAGGAGAAAAACGCGAGAGAGCATGTCACACGTTGCTGTATGTAAATGATGAGAACTGCAGCGGTCGCGGCGGTCAAGCGAAGGTTTTAGCTCTCAATTTCAAGTCGGGATAGGACCACCACCCTAGCGATCAGGGGCCCTCTTTCAAGGAGTGGGCTTCTTCGGGAATCGGTCTGGCCTCTGAGAAAAAGTTAATCCTTATATCGTGAGGACAACGCGGCGGCACTTGACTTCGCTACTACGAGCCTGGCTCGAAAACCAAACAAATCTCCTACCTAGCTTTCGAGTCGACTGAGGCCGGATAACTGATACTAATCGGATT